TCTGTCTCATATGTCTTCAAACTTTGCACAAAAAGAAACAATAAAAGGCAAGGTTTCTGGATGAGTCAGCAAGAAAAAGGGAAAATTAAGGCACATTATTGCTTTTTGGAATTATTTTTTGATCTGACACAGCTTTTAAAGATATGACTGTCTTGAGACATTTTCAGAACTGAAAAGAGCAAACCAAAAATGCAGTCAAAATATACCAGTTCCATTGATTCCCTTCTACAATCTCTCCAACTTTAACAGCTTTAAAATAGATAATGCTGAACAGCCAGATGTTTCCACCGATAACTGAGAAGTTCMAAAATAAAAAACAGATTTTTACCTCTCTCTTATCCAAATGTTCTCATTCACCTTTTGGATTAAGATGATAAAGTGCCTCACAAAATAATAACATTTCTTTCATCTTAAATTGAGTGGTTTATAATGAGACATGTATTTGACGCTGCTCTAAGGTTTCAGGTAAGTTATTAGGCATCAGCTCTTTGGGATTCCAAAGTTGTGCCCTATGGAAAAGGTTCAAGCCCACTGATGCTAATGAAAATATTTRTATTTCTGGCTGGGTTCCCACCTCTATTGACTTGCCACTATATGATGAGCCTGGACAACAGTGTCTGAGCATCACACCAAAGTCGCTGATCTCCATCAGCTTGAGTCCAGACATTAAATTAATTCTCTGCTGAAAGTGTGTGGCAGGCAAAGGCCAGGTTCAACTGAGCAGCCTGCAGCTTTCACAGCTCATTCCAGTGTCAGATCACTTACACGAGCCAGGAAGAGGCACTGAGCAAAGGTACTTCAAGAAGAAAAGAAAAAACCACAAACGCCACGATTACACACAGGCCATTGGTTGTTTTCTTAAATGCAGAGGTTCATTTATGTGAGTGAAATCCTGTTCAGATGATACTGCTGTMGGAGGAGCTGGGTGCAAAGAAGTCTCCATCACAGACAGAGTTAGATGGGGGTCTTTGAAGGCAGCAAATGTTGGGCTGGTTTACATAAGTGGCTGATACACAGCACRTTAGCTTGACTCCACATTTAGGATCATTGCCTTAAGCCCAGATCAGCCTGTATGGGATCTGGCACAGCTGCATGCAATGTTATCAGGTGCACAGCTGGGACAGACTACCTGCACCAAAAACTAATGTTCTTCYTTCGTATTTTGCTGCTGCAACCAACCTTGTGTCTAGGATCAGGTGACAGCATCTATAAAGTTATGTGTTGAAAAGATCAGCGCAGAAAATAGAACAAAACAGAGAATATCCTTTTATTAAGCTCTAGAAATGACTTCTAACTTAAACTACAAATCAGATGAGAAATTAAGATGCTTACAATGCCAAATGCACACCATTTATATATTTAACCCTACACCAAAGCTAGTCTTTTGCTTTCAATGAAAAAATATACTGAACACAGTCATGCAGCAACCGTTTGGGAGCAAGACACAAAGAGAAAACGGTAATGCAAACCTCCTCCAATCGCTGCACCTTCATTTATATTTTATTTTCTATCAGTCACTCAGCTCTAATAAAATCTGACACTTTTCCTTTGCATGTAATACATTTAAGCTTTTTGGATGGTGAAGGGGGAGTTAGTATTGTATTGATGGGTTTTTTTATTGATTATGCAAATCATTAACTGATTTTCCACCAGTCTTGATGAAAATAGGCAAACACGGGGATATCTAAAGCCTTTATTTAGATAATTAGGTGTTGTCTGGTTAAAGATCATTTTGGAACCCGTAGCAATTATCTTCTCTTTCTCCCTCTCCCTAAAGGATATTCACTGAGAGAGGGTTATTTGAGGGTACGTATTTTGTCCTTTAATTCTTTATATTAATAGATAACCAGGATTTTAAATTATCCAAACATATTTGCCTAAACTAATTACATTCTAGAGCTATAAATTGAAGACAAAAAAAACCTTTTAAAAATATTTGATACTGATTGATGTTGATCATGATTAATAAAAAGCATCAATGGACATTTTATATTCTCCTCCCTTTAAGTRGCTGCTCAYTTTGTCACTRTCCTTTTGACACACTTCTAGGGAAKTGTGAAGACATCATGTTAGGAGTGACCACAACTAGATATCACATTTCATTTTCCAGCCACACCAGAGTTCTTCCTAAGATTTAACTCTGAGAGACCATATCAAAAGCTGTGCTGAACAGCTGATTTGGCTTCCAAGTATCTGAGGGATACAGCAAAGCAATATTTTTGTGAAACTTTACTCCATTACTGCCAGCAKTCTTGTCTTCACTAGGAATTTTACAGACTTTATCAACTGCAGAGTATCACTCACTGTAGCCAACATATGAGTACTGATTTTACCTGGTCTTCTCTGATGCACTAAGCAAATTCCCACTATCCTGTGGAATAACCCCGGAGTAAGTTTTTCTGGGCTATATCACGCCCTCAGTTTACTAAGCAACGATGCACCAAAAGTTGTTTTTGCTCTACCTTAATTTCATATGCTCACRTTTACCCTTGAGACTTTTTTTYCCTCTCTTCTATCCAGAAACAGCAGATAACCCGTCCCATCCYAATCCCCGCGGCACTGACCGCTGCCACCGACGCCAGAGAAGCCGCACCCGCTCTCCAAGGAGCAGGAGCCAGCAAGTTCCCTTTTCCCCAAAACCTCGCTCCGAGAGCAGCAGCTGCAGAAACGCCCAAGCTGTGGCTCCACAAAAGCGGCGTTTACTCCGCAAGTCAGGACCGGTCCCGGGTTCGGTCAGCGAGGATTCCATCCCGCACTTCCCATGCCCATCCCGCTTCCCTCACCTATGCTCATCCCGGTCCCCTCACCTGTGCTCATCCCACACTTTCCGTGTCCATCCCTCTTCTCCCGTGCCCATCCCGGTCCCCTCACCCGTGCCCATCCCGGTCTCCTCACCCGTGCCCATCCCACACTTCCCATGCCCATGGCTCTCCTCCCGTCCCCATGGCTCTTCTCCCGTTCCCATCCCAGTCCCCTCACCCGTGCCCATCCCACAATTCCCGTGCCCATGGCTCTCCTCCCGGGCCCATCCTTTTTCTCCCGTGCCCATCCCGGTCTCCTCACCCTTGCCCATCTCACACTTCCCGTGCCCATCCCAGTCCCCTCACCTGTGCTCATCCCACACTTTCCGTGTCCATCCCTCTCCTCCAGTGCCCATCCCGGTCCCCTCACTCGTGCCCATCCTTTTTCTCCCGTGCCCATCCCGGTCTCCTTACCCGTGCCCATCCCACACTTCCCGTGCCCATGGTTCTCCTCCCGTGCCCATGGCTCTCCTCACCTGTCCTGCGGGGTCCCGCGGGCTCGGCGCCGCCTCCAGGGATGCTCCGCGGCGCGGTGCGGGGTGCATGGCCGGGGCAGGCTCAGGGCAGCGCCGGTCCCGCCGGCTTTATGGAGGGGCGAGAGCCGCCCCCGGCCGAGGGAGGGATGCGGGGGGCGGGGGAAGCGCTGCCCGGCCCGGCTGGGGAAGGGGAGCCGTGACCCTCCCCGCAATGCTCGCTCAGTTTGCACAGCGGCGATGCTCAGATGCAGCCACAGCCCTCTGCCCGGCACTGCACCCCGGAAAAACCCACACGAGAACGGGAACTTTCCCTCCCGAGTTGCACCTCCTCGGTCACCCGTACAGGTCACTCAAGAGGGATCACAGAAGACTGACTTTTTGTGGGTAAMTCAGTGGGTTTTGCAGTTGACACAGATTTGCACCCCATTTGGATGGAGGGGGTCTTCCCGCATCGTGCCCACACAGCCTCTTCCCAGCACTTGTGCGCTCCCTGCTCCGTTCACTGCCCGTGGGCAAGGGAAGGCAAACTGCATCAGAAATGAGAGGTGGTGAGAGCTGGGCCRTAGCAGAGGGGCTCTGAGAAAAGCTGCCTCCCATGCTATGAGGGACTCAGCAGCGAGGGACTCCCTCAAATTCTCGATAGCACACAGTGAGAGTTGTGGTCTCAAAGAGGAGCCCGGTGAGCAGATGTACAGGGCTCTTCACTAAAAACAGACGGGCATTTGCTGCTGTGAAAATAAACTGCAGTGTATTACTTTTTTTCTCAAAACCTCCTGCACATACAGGAAGAATAACTACACTTGTATGAGAAGGAAATTGTATCTTTTCATATMATTTATGTTATTTATTTTCTGCATAACCCAGACATATTTATAATATAAAAACCTATGGCTTTTAGGCTACAGTAATCCCAGTCCTCACTGTCTCCTCTCAGGTCAGACTTGGCAACATTAAGATAAGGGGATTTGTGGTCCACAGCGGGAAAAGCCAAAACATTCCCTGGGAACATAATCTCTTGGAGGTGTTCGGGGTCTCTTGCGGAGGAGAGGTTGATTATTTTGTGTTTAGGCTGTCCAAAAACAAAGACTCTGACCT